TTCTATAGATATATGCTGTAACAATAGCAACAGGTTTCCGATAGGAAATAAACTACGGTGTTAATAATATTTGTAATTCTCTATTACGTAGTGCGCTTTCGATAAATCAATTTCCTTAAAAAAGAGCAACACCAACGTGACGTAGAGTAATTTAACGGGGGAGGGAAGAGCATAAATAGAATTCTATACCTACGAATTATCAATAAAAGGCAGACTGTGCACAGTAACGTCCATGTTTTCTTTACACAGTGAAATACGTATGTTTAGAATTGAAACAATACTTATGCACGTAGAAATTTTTCTCAGCTATATTTACTCGAACGATACGTTTTAACCGTAGGAAGCTCGAGAGAGGATCGAAAATTGTTGGCAGAATTTTAATAATAAACAAATTATTTTAACATTAATTTATTTTTCTGATACAGAAAGTAATTGTATTTATTGAGGATCTTTAATTAGCGAATAAAGATTGACTCAATCGACTGCAGAGGAAAAAAGACGTTTATTGATAGAAATGAAATACAAAAAAAAAAAAAAACGGAGGCGAAAAATCCGAGTGAAAAACAGTTACTCAGTTCGGGGTTGTCGCACGACTACTTGAAATGCGGAAGAACATTTGTTATATACTCGGCATCGCCCCACGGTCAGCGGACCCACGGCTTTTATGGCCCGGCCTGAGCCTATGTTAAGCAGAGAAACTCGCGGTAGGAAAGTAAATATTCAAAATATAATCTATTCTCAATAGTATTTAATAACTGTAACTAAACGAGTTAAATATCGTGTTTACTATTTTCTTTCAGTGAAATGAAAGGAAGTCTTTAAATTCGAAATGAAATTTTCCACGAATTTAAGTTTCCCCGTGTTAATTAACACATTTTCACTGGTAAAGTGCACCGACCTATTGCCCTCTCGATTCTTTCGGTCATTCGCTTCATTTTTCCCCCGATAATTCTCGTAATTCTCTGTATACAGACAACGACCAGCTAACTGAACACGAAGCTTATACGAGCAACTCGGTGTATAAATGTATATATATATATAGGTGGAGGCATATAACGAACTCGCTGGACCTCTTGGCTCGAACCGAGAAAAATATTTCTGAAAAGTAGCCGGTATATAACGGTGGAAGGAAAAGCGGAACTTTTGTGGCTCGCTTTCAATGCGTCGTGTCGGCGGTCGTCTTACTCGTTCCAGGCATCACACGGAAACCATTTTACCCGGATCTTCTCTCAACTCCGGCTCGACATCTGATCATTCGCCCACGTCTGCCCGACTTAAGTGCAAGAGTGACGCAATATACAAACGTCCCCTTTTTGCGCCACGACTACCATTTCAAAACGTCTTATTTCTATTTACTAGTTTTACCCTGCGTCATCCCTTACACGCCGGACGAGGATACGCGTGTCGCATTACAAACGTCGTAATATCGAGATAAGAAGAACGTTCCAGTTCTTATTTAAACCGACATCGAAGGAATACAATCTGATATTGATTTTTCTAACACTAGAACTGGAGAGAGAGAGAGAGAGGAAAACGACAATATAAATCTGTAGACTTCGACCAATACTTCTGTTAGAGTGCAACCTTAGGGATGTCGAGTGTTTCTTTCTTATTGAAAGATCAAGAAGAAAAAGAGAATGATACATAGTTCC